CAACCCAATAGCAATGGCCTCCAACCCAATAGCAATGGCCTCCAACCTAATGGTAATGGCCTCCAACCTAGTAGTAATGGCCTCCAACCCAATAGCAATGGCCTCCAACCTAATAGCAATGGCCTCCAACCCAATAGCAATGGCCTCCAACCTAATAGCGATGGCCTCCAACCTAATAGCACTGGGCTCCACCAAATAGCGATGGCCTCCACCGGATAGCAATTGCCTACAACGTAATGACAATGACCTCCAACCTAATTGCGATGGTCTCCACCTGGATTAACTTGGCTTTGGGGTCAATGTAGAAGTGAACGTTTTGTGCGACAACTCGAGTGAATGCTTTCAAAAGTGTTTCCAACATGTCTGTATTTTCCCTATGTTCTCCTCAGTCCGTCTAGAACAAGTCGGGCACGCTCCCCGCAGATTGACACTGATGGGATCTCTAGTAAAGAACAGCAAGTTACTGAAGAAAGTCGAACGTGACCGTGCTTCAAGGCACCTCAGCCCTTTCCTGGAAGCTGCTCAAGCATTTGGTCGGCCCGGCCAGAAAGATCTCGTTCTCGTAATCTGGTGACACAGAAGCTAAAACTACTGCTGCTTGGCTTAGCTATCCAGCTTGATCCCCCTCCACCGCACCTGACACCCTAAGTCGAAGGAGGGCAGGAAAAAGCCGCTGCAAGCCTGAAGAGGACATGAAGTTGGAATGCTTGCTTCACCAAAAACTCATTTACAAGACTCTTTTGAGCATCATCAGGATGCGAGGATGCATCAGTTACTTGGGACGTGGCCGCTGAACTTCCAGCCCAGCCTTGTTGAAGATACTTTGCTTCACGACACAAGGCGTTGGTCACCAATAAGCCTCCTTCGCAGGTACCCCATCCGATCCCCGTTCATCCGCTTAATCACTTGCTCTATTTGAACATGTCGTCAACTTGACGTCTTTGCATTTCCAGTGTGTGCATGAACTTGAATTCATGAAAGGTCGAGATTGGATCCTTGACATGTAAAATACCTACCCGTCTCCCCCTCCCACTTCCACCTGGCTGCAAACAACGCCTTGCCAAGCGGAATCCCGGCTGGGGCAGCCAACCTCGGCAGAGCGGACAATGCTACTTGCGAGGCATGTCATGGACTTCACTACTCGTTGTCAGGGGAAAAGTAAGCTTGAACTTTGAACAAACATGTTTTATGGTTTTCATTATTATTCTTTCTTCTGACCTTTCACGACTCATCTTTTCTCTGTTATATCACCGCCATAGTAGCAAGGCCTTGAATTTCAGGTCTTTACTGCCACCCTCTTCTTCCCCTCACAAAGCGGCTTCCCAAAAAAAGGGAAGCCTGCTCAAGCCCGTGTCTAGCCACTGGCCTTTGTGCTCCCTTGTTTTCAACATTGTGTATATAAACTTTTATAAGCACTTCATATTGTGGTTCTAAATGAGTCCCTCTGTCTGTGTAATTCGCATTTGGCCCGTCGGGCAACGTGGCTTCTTCACACTCCTGGCATAGCCTGCAAAGACATCGTCTATGATGAGGTCGAACTTGCGCTTGTCCTGCAAATGACAAAGAAGGGCTCAGCATGTCTCAGTCACCCATGGTTCGTGGCATTAGACAGCACAAACATGACTCAGCACTCCTTCACAACCCAAACCTGCCCTCTGCCCTCCCGCCTCCCGCAAGAACTGCAGGGCGTCCATTTCACATACCTCGATCTCTAAAGCGTCAAGGTCAAAGTTCTCTCTGGCCACGCGGAGCACCTCCAGGGAATATGGATGAATATGATAAGTTTTTCAGGACACGTCAGGAATAGGTGACGTACCTTACATGTGCACAAGGTGATGTACCATTAACTGCAACGTGTATGGCCGGGAGTGGAGAACCTGGAACAACCTGCCTTAGCATGTCGTCCAAACACCCTCCTGACATTCTGCTGTAGTCAGACAAGCTCACAAAACAGTTCCACGTAACTCCCGAGTTGGTCCCTTGGAGATCCAACGTGAACCCATCGCAAACCTGACGTGATACAGCAAACCAAGTGTGCCTCTGCGTCCAACTCTACACCAACAATGACTGCCTTCAAAACAGGCGAAGCTGTGGGATCGAGCAACCAAGACCACATTGAGACGAAGCCTTCAAAATCACAAAGAAATAATGCCTGTAGGCATCTGTAGGCTCTATCTTGGATACTGGTTCGACCAACAAATAAATAGAAAATAGTCTTGTCCATCTCATCAACATGCCATCGACCTGCCTCTGGGCTCAAGTCCTGTATGATCCGTGCGCAGGTGCCGCCACCCAGGCCCAAGATTAGCACCCTAGGCCTTCAGCAGCTTTTGTGAAGTAGATGCATCAGGATGTTTCTAAGAAGCTGTTGAAAGTTCAACCATCATTGGCAGTGATATTAAGCCATCGCTAATACACCTCTGAGAATGGTAATTGCAACTGACTGCAACTCATAAGAGCTTGTCGGGTGACGAGCTTTCACATGTCCAATGAGCACCTTGATACTGACAAAGCCAGTATGGGCAGGGCCAGCGCATCCCAAACAAATCTGCCGCGTCTGGCACATGAGCAAGACTGGAATTGCAAGAATAAGATGAAAGCCAAACAAGAATTCATCCTACAAGGCATTATGTGCCACCTTCCTACGATCGAATTGTAGGAACAAGAAAGTCATATAATTTGGGAGAATACAAACAACTACACCTGGTATATCTACAAATATGCATTATGTCATGTCTTGAACTCTGGTACTAAACTGGCCGTGAAAATGGGGATGCTGCAAGAAAATGATTGCACCTCTCGGAGTAAAGGGAGGCCAATGTCCTGAGCAAACGAAAAGCACCAGCTTTCGCGCAAATCAATCCATTTGGGTCGAAGATGAAGGAAAAAAGACCAAACGTCGAACATTTGACCAAAGCTTCTCATCCACAATGAGCTCCAGTCCATCAGGACCCTCTTGCACTCGAACGCGTCCGATATTCTCCTGCCCCAAAGCGATTAATGTTCTGCCATTTTCGAACCATGTTCTCTCAAGGGCATCACTACTTGGAACGAACAGCTTGTGCCGTCCTGATCGCACGCGCGGGCACACGCCCGTGGCAAACCAGTCCATGTAGGTCGAAGTGGCACGAGTGAAACCATCTGCGTTGGATCCCGTGTTGGAAGATCTTTTGGATCATAAACACAATAATATCGAGTTGCTGAATTTCTGCTCTGGCTGCTGTTAACCATTGTCTGCTGAAACACAATAAACTGTCTGCAGAGTCTGCAGTTGCTGATACAACAGCCTCTTCAAAGGTCTAAACTTCTTAACAAGAGATCGATCCAATGAAGGCCTATATGACCCGATCAAGGCCTCAAATTGTGAGCTGCGCCCTATTCAAAATGGTGAGTCGAGGGTGGAGACCTGCAACATCCTGCAACATGCACATGTGGGTCGCAAGGATCTACCGAAGCCCGACCTGAAATAGCGGGAACTGAAGCTTCCAAGACCGTCCGGCTTGCGACCCACGCGCAGATCAATGAACACCAGATCAAAACGTGGCAGCGGACGACCTTTCAATCTGCCTTTGGCAAGCTCGATTTGGGCATCTAAGCAGGCCAGCATCCCTGGACACCTTGTACTGTGACAACTGTGATTCTCCAGGATTACCGTCCGCCAGGTCCGAGGGATGTTTCCACTGCTTCCAGCTGTTTTGCTGAATTAGCGGTGACCGAGTGAAGCACTTGTGACCCGAACCTCGAAAAATCTCTTTGGCCCACTGGGCTTCATGGCTTCATGGCTTCTCTTGCATCGCCCACATCAGTTCTATGAGGACCAGGTGAAGCCTTGCTTCGAAGAGGTCTGAGGTTCCAATCTCAAAATGCCACTGCCGAATGTCTGGGAAATTCAATCCCAACAACTCGGATTTGGTGGCTGGACATTTTGTGTGTCTGAAACCATCCTATCTGGAGCCACAGCCGTTAACAAACCATCGAATCCTGATGTGTCGGAACGCTGTTTGCAGCCAGGTTGCTCAGGATCGGTATCACGGGCCGCCCGCTCAAAAAGTCTCACCTGAACTCAAAGCACGTTGAAAAACTGCTGCCGTATCCGTTTCGGTCAAGTTCAGATTTTCTTTATGTGTGTTCTCGGTGATTCTACAATAGGTATCCACATCCAGACTTCTTTACGCAATTTTCCTATACTTTCCTTGCGATCCTCGATTGCCTGTGCTAGCTTGGGCTGCTCAAATTAAGGATGTCTTTGGCCCGTGGGATGCCGTGGGTCCTCCATAGACCACCGGCATTTAAGAATCAATAAGAAGCTATCTAGTAACAAAGGGCATCGTTACTAGGAGCAAGGACGCTACTAGTATCTCCTGGCACTAGGAAGCTACCAGTTAAGTTTGCCCAAAAATCAACAAAAACATCAAGCGCGAGCTATCCTCCCATCGAGCTTCGAGTCACGGAGCTTCGAAGCTTTGGCTCATCCACAACTCCCATGAGCTGCGTCACCTCGAAGCAGGCTTTCGATTGGATCAACGGTCCATTTGCTACTAGTAGAAATGCCAGGAGCTACTATGGCGTCCTTGCTCGTAGTAGAAATGCCAGGAGCGCCCCTAGTAGCGATGGGTCATTTGGTGACATCTGGTGACTCACATTTTGCCTTGAACATGAGAAAGGTCTGAGAAGTCCGATGAGCAACATAGTGCACTGACAAGCTTCTCTGAATCAGAAATTCCACTGATCTTTCAGGATTTAGGATATATCTGCTTTTTCTATACACTGGGGCAGTAAGTACTTCGATCTGATTCGTGAAACTTTCTCAATGCGCTTAGAACAGCAATATTTTTTTATAGTCCGTTTCACCTCTACCGACTATGCTCTGCCATTCCTCAATGCCATCTCTGACGCGCCTGCCGACCCTTCTTGAGCTGATCCAAGATCGCCTTCATCAGCCCTGTCTCCGCCAAGCTTGCAGCAGTTTCTCTGAAGCAAGGTTCGTGAATTGGGCATATTATTATGGTTCGACATAGCATATCATGAGCACAAAAGCGAGTGACTTTCGGATGGTTCACGTTTCCAGCATCAGCAAGGCATCAATAAAAACGAGTGAAGTCCTTGCGTATCAAGTGCACGCCTAGGTAGTTCTGCCTCAAGCTCACGCCATCTGCCTCAAACCTGTCAGTCAGCCCAGCCCGGGACATGTCATCTCTCAAACTCCAGGCACAAAGCCTGTAAGAGTTAGGTTTTGCCAGGCTGTATATATATATATAGTTGCTGACTGTCATTTGCAGGGCTCAAGTCCCAGGTTAGTCTAGCTAAGTTAGAGCCCCAGAGCCAGAGCTTGTAGGTTTGCTGTCTTTTTTGGCAATCATTGGATGTCTATTGCTATTTGATTGATATGGGCCAGAATGCAGGAGTTTGTGCAGGGCTGGCCTGTCTGAATGTGAGCATGTGTGTGCCCTTTAATCAAGTGGAATTGGCATTGGTTTTGCATGGTTTTGCTAGGTGCTTATTCTTACTTGACACGCCGTGCAGGTCGCACACTCATGGAAATAGAAACGGAACTTGTCATTTGCAAATCGCAACAACTCAGAGTTGTAAATACAAAACAGTTCTCGATATCCGCAGGCGTACCAGCAGTATTTGATGTGACATTGATAATACCTCTAATGAACCAAAGTTTCTCAAAAAAATCTAGGAACCAAATCATTGCGAGCGCTTCTTCGAGGAAGCTTAACGTGGCCAGCGTGAGCAATCCTGCCTGTTGGGAGTGAACTAGTCGCCGTAGGGACGGGGGGAGCGGGCTCTAAAAAGAGATCCAAAGCATTCGCAGAATGAATCCGAGGACTCAAGCGGCCTGAGATATTCTCGGACTTCCTCATCAGTACGAAGCGCAAAGCGCCGGTTTCGCGCGCTGCCACGCTCGATGCCGTCGACCAAATATGGTGGAGTTGGAATCATGAACCACATCCTGGCGCGACGCTGCAAAACTTTGGAGGCAAAAGGGCAACGCCTTTGGTGAAGTTCGATACTTTAATTACACATTATATATTAATATATATATATATATTATGTTTATCTGAATGTGAAGAAATTTCCAGTGAAGCTTCGGTGTACTGCGTTGGCAAGTGCTAAAAAATGCTCACGTCAATCTAGAGATTCTTTTGCTTGCAAGTCAGCCGACAAAAACATTGCACGTAGTTTGGAGTTTCAAGTCTGCAGCTCATGGCCAAGTCTCCAACAACTTTCTTTCTGCCCGTTGGAAATCTCTCTCATCGCCCTGCACCGTAAGTCACACCAAATCGAAAACTCTTGCAAAGGAAAGCCAGTGAGATTGTGGAGCCTTCCCCAGATACCACTCGCAAGTTTTATGGATGGATCTGTCATACAACTGTTTCCTAGCTTCTGCCACTGGGTCTGATATGTCCTTCAGAGCCTTCATGGCAGCGTTTGCAAAAGGGACTTCTAGGTGTTCAACGGGAAGGAAGAACACTTACCTTTTTTATGGAGGTCCTTTGGGCTGCAATGAAGGTGAGTTCGAGATACCAAACAGGAAACTCACAATGCGAAGACACGATGAAACTGTTGGGAATGCCAAACAGTGATCAATGTACTAGCGGTGGCCTACACCCTAGTAGCGATGGCCTCCACCCTAATAGCGATAGCCTCCACCCTAATAGCGATAGCCTCCACCCTAATAGCGATAGCCTCCACCCTAATCTAGCGATGGCCCCCACCCCGATAGCGACCTCCACCCTAATAGCGATGGCCTCCACCCTAGTAGCGATGGCCTCCACCCTAGTAGCAATGGCTTCCAACCTAATAGCGATGGCCTCCAACCTAATATCGATGGCCTCCAACTTACTAGCGAGGGAATGCGAGGGACTCCACCCTAGAAGCGATGGCCTCCAGCCTAATAGCGCGGAGGCCGCCACGCTAATGGCGATGGCCTCCCTCCAAATAACTTCCAAGTAAGGCTATCGCGGCTAACTGAGTCCGTCGTGGCCTGGCATAGGTCGATTTCTGCGGCACTGTAAAGCGCCGCAAGCCACTCTCCCCGCTCACGCGCCGCTGGGGGGTCGGCGTGGCCGTCAAGTCTGCCTCAGTGTATTTCTGTCGTAGGTGAAAGTGATTGTTTAAACCTTGTTCAAATCGCCATCGCTATTATGTTGGAGGCCTTTGCTTCTAGGTGGTGTATGTATAAAATGATTCTTTAAGCCGGCCAAAGTCGATGGTTGTGAGCTGGGCTGTGAGGGCTGTCAGTAAGTGATTGTGATGTCACACTGGACTGAGAAGTCAAAATCATCAGTCCATGATTGATCTGTTGATCTATTGAACATAGATCGTCTGACACACCCACATAAAAGAATGCGCTCCGTAGAAAGTTTATGCAAACAGATGCCTGAGAAGACCTAAAAAATACCTCAAGAGATTACATGTCCCTAGTTATGAATCTCTTGGCTCGCCTTTAACGCTTCTCTCCAAGCCACGAAAGCATTACCTTTGGCTTTCATTGCCTGCACCAGCAGATTTAACCACCTCTACGGTGGGACCCAAAACATGATGTGAAATGAGTTGTAAAGCAGGCTATGAATAGTGTGCAAAGTAGAGTTCACTATCATGAGACTCTGTACAAGGTGCATTTAATCAAATCACAATCAACTGATTTTTTTTCGACTGGACGTGTCTGTGTGGTTCTCCGATGCCTTCTCTGGCTGCCATCCCAAAGCCTGAGATTGCAAGAACACATCCTCACCGCCAATTGGTCTCACCGAGATAAGACCCAAGAGTTTATGCACACCGCCAATGACACCATGACATGGGAACGTTGCCAACCACTTACCATTGAGAAACAAAATAGATAAGTTATATAATAACCCTTTCACTGGAGAAGACACGCAAAAAAAAGTCTTGAACGGCCCAAGTGACGTAGAAAGCTCGTGCTGCAAGCCGCGGTGGCAGGCATTGTCCCGTCCTGAGCAAGGACTGGTTGGCCCAATGCAGCACTTGGAAGCAAAGATCTGTGAACAATTTGCATGTGTCTAATCAAATGCATCTTGGAAGAGAAGGTTCGGAACCTGCATTACTCTAGTAGCAAGCTACTAGTAATTAACAAGGTGCATCGCTACTAGTAACAAGGGCATTACTGCCAGTAGCAAGAAGCTACTAGTAACAAATCCAGTGTCCATCCTTTATTGAGATCACTCAAAGCTATCAAGTCTCCAAGACTGGCAACAAATCATGCTCCAAAACCGCTCATCTATATACACATGGCTAGCGCAGAGTCTACATGGTGCTTTGCCTGCTTGTGTTTGGGGTTCACATGTCCTTTCGGTCTGGGATAGTCTGGGCCTTTCGGTCATGCTAGGCTGGTCCCCGTGGTCCATGTCGGTGTGTACTTTGATGGCTTAGAGGGAAGTCCACTATTGCTTCTGAGCCAAGAGCCACAAGGAGGCACTATGCACATCGCAAATGAGTGTAAAACAACAACGTTAAACATATATCATATCACCTAAGTTCCTGTAGCCACTTTAGCCACACTACCCAATCACACCTTGTACAAACCTCCAATGGAATGAAGTCTGCGCCAATGTCTTTCGGCACCGGGTGCAGCTCATAAAGCGTATGTGGCACAGGATGCTGCAGTGTACCGGTGATTTCAACCTGTGCGACTTCGAACAATCTGTCCGTCAAGCGAGACAAGTAGAAGCACGTCTCAGCCTCTGGTCTTCGAGAACTTAACTTTACTGTATTATTCCTGGTGAGTTTGATCATGCGTGTCTTGGGCACAGACCCTTTTGTTTGTTGGTCGGATGACAGCGCTCCACTGTGTTGGTGGCACAATGTTACATGCAAACATAATTCATATTAATTCATATCTTTGTCACGGGCCCTTTCCAAGATTCGTCAAAAACCACCGAGGACCGTGAGAGCCAAAAGCTTGGCGGTTCCACGCTCCGACCACATCAGCCTGCTGCACGCATTGCAAGCCAGCGCCCGCAAAGAGCTGCCGCCACGCAGCATCAGGCCGGATGTTCCGCATGTACCTGGTTGGCGTCAGACTCTGAGCATGCTTGCGGCAGACCGTCGAACGTTTTCATTGGTCTAATAGTGCAAACGAGAAGCACTTGTGGATCCTGACCAAAGGGACGGAAATGTTGCGCAGTAACCTGCCCGTCTCTATATCCAAATGGCAAATCATGCTGCATACATGTACACACTGTATTTCAATTTCTCACTTAAATTTCATCCTCACAAGGAAAACTGATACTGAACAAACTAACAGCTGTAAAAACAGGTCGGACCACAGTGGTTGAACTGCAGGCAACCTGCACAGCTAAGTTCAGCAGTCCCTTGCTCTTTGCTGACCGCGGTTGATCTTCAAGGACAAGCACCTAAGCCATAAGCCAGAAGTTGTGGCAACTCGTCTCAATCAACATTGGTGTGTGTGTGTGTCTCTCTCTCTCAACAGCAGTGACAGTTGAGCTTTCCGCCCCCGCGAGCGTGCCAGGTAGGAGTGAAACAATTCACGAAATGGGATGTTGCTCAAGGGCAGGGTGTATTTAAATAACGCTATATATATATATATTAGATATAATACAAACCTCTGCTTGGAGCAAGTGCCCCATGTAGACAGCGGCGCGCCAGAACCAGTGAATTGTCGATCAGATGCATACAGTGCACTTTCTGTCCTTGCTCCTAGTAGCGATGCCAGGAGCCCCTAGTAGCGTCCTTGCTCCTAGTAGTAGGGCCAGGAGCCCCTAGTAGCTTTCCTCCCGCTTCGCCATGCGATTCAGACACCCGCTTTGCCACTCTTGCAGCTTCAGAGAGTGTTGTCTCCACGGAGTCGGCAATGTGATGCAACACGAAGAGCAAAAGGCAAGTGTCAAATGAGCCTTGGATGAGGTTGGATTGCATTATTGCATTATTGCATTATTGCATACCTGAGAAGGGGGGACGAAAGCCAGCTGCCGCTTCATTACGTGGGTCCCTGTATGCGGTACCTGTCTACACTCGAGTCCTCTATGCCCAGAGTCCAAATAGTCTTCAAAGCCCTTCATGATGCTAATGATGCACTACTCGGCGTCCATTACAGCACTCGCATCACCAGACCCCATTTTCACTGCTTTCCGGGCCCCATCTCTCGCTTTGGAGCGCTCTCCCCCACCAAGCTCTGGGTTCACCCTATCAAAAGGTTCCGCTCAGCGACCACCCCACCCCCACACCCCCTTAACTCACTTCGTTCGCCCTAAAAGCTCAAGCCTTACCTATCGGCTGGCTTTCGTAATAAACAGTGTGTTTATTTCTATGTTCTTTCTTTTAAAGGGATGGGGGTAGGCTGCTAGTAGAGGTGAGGCAGCTAGGTAGGTAGCTAGAAGCAAAAGGTAGCTAGTACCTTACTTAAGCTACTACCTACTGAACGCAAAAGCGCTCGCACTATTCATTTAGTTCCTACAGATATTTGGAATACATAATTGAAAAACACATGCAACATAATGTCGATTTTTGACTAATAAACGGTCCAAACATAATGCACCTTTGGGCTTGTATAAAAACAACATCTACGCTTTCATATTTCCAAATAATATAACCCCTTCAAAAAGCAGTGTCTGTACTTTTGCTCCGGCATGATTTTGACTAATAACATCTTCTGCAATCATGTGTACGAGTTTCATTGTTCGTTTATTCTTGAATTCCCTAAGAGGGATGGCCTCCAACCTAAGAGCTATGAACCTAAGAGAGATGGCCTCCAACTCCTGTGTATCCTTATATCATTATTAAATTCCTATTGATTCCATTTAAACAAGAAGCTACTAGAGGCTCCTGGCATCGCTACTAGTGGCCTTCGGCCTTCTCCTATAGAGTTTAAAATCATCAAATGTCGAAGTATGTTTTTCGCTCAAAAAGTCCAGTCTCCAGAGTCTCCGTGTCAGGACGACCTGGTTTGTTGCCTGCTCCGAGTCACTGTCTTCATACGGCCATGGAGACACACCGTCATGAAAGGCGACACGGTCCTAGAAGAGAACGTAGAACCATGTAAAATGTACAGCTACTGATCAGTTACAAACTGTGCTTTCTTCTGCAAAGCAATGCCTTTGAATGTGACTGCAAAAGGTCTTTGGAGGCCATTGCTTCGAGGTTGGAAGGCCATCTCAATTAGGTAGGAGGCCATCGCTATTAGGTACGAGGCTAGTAGGTTGGAGGTCTTTACTATCTTCACTCCGCTCTGCTCCGCTCCTGGCCCAAGCGTTCCTTGGCAGACTGCGCCAAAGCAGCATCCACCTCCAGGAGGTGGACCTCACAACCATGTTGAGACCTGCAGCTCGACAAAATGCCAGACGCGCACAAACGTAAGTCCTCCCTTTCATGACCAGAAGGATTCAGAAGGAACACAAGGAGTTCATTTGCAGGCGATTTATATCTATTTATCAGTACCTTCAGGTGAACTCTTTGATTCATACGAGTGCAGTGTTGAGGCCTAAGGAAACACGGCATTTACTCTTTGAGGTGCCACAGTTTTGCGTGGCGGCGGCGGTACATGTTTTGTTGGATGTTGGACTTGGTGGTCACAGACAGCCATCGTTGGCTTGAGAATAAGAACGAGATATTCTAAGCAAATCCTGAATCAAAAGCTCTATATTAAGCTACTAGGAACAAGTGCATCGCTTCTAGTAACAAGTGCCTTACTAGTAGTAACAAGAAGCTAGTGGAAACACAAAACTCTTTCTGCACCTGTTCCTTCGAACATATGTAATGCCCTTTGTTGCTCGTAGCTTCTTGTTACTCCTGTTCCTTTGAACATATACTGTAAACATCTCTGATGCGAGCGACTATAATCGAGGTAACCTTGACGATGTCGGGTGATATTCGGGTAATGTTGACAAGTCACCACCACTCCGCCATGTGCCCATCACCGCCGCCAACGTCTAAAACTCGAGGACCGCCCCGGCCCAGCGCCACAAAGAGAGGTCGTGCATAGCGCTCGTGAGAGCGCTCCTCGTAAACCTGAGGAAGACGTCCAAAAACTGCCCTTGTTACTAGTAGCGATGCCAGGAGCCCCTAGTAGCTTCCTTGCTCCTAGTAGCGATGCCCTTTGTTACTAGTAGCTTCTAGCTACTAGATGCTACTAGTAGTAATGCACTTGCTACTAGTAGCGATGCACTTGCTACTGGCTTTGGGGTCATGCTTCCGGTGGAAAGGTACTGTCAAATGTAGTTTGTGGAGCATAGCAGAGGGTCGTTGATCATTGATCGACAGTGTAGTGCTACATAGCACGTTGATGCACATTGTATACGCAGAAGACCAATCAACAGGGTTCTTCTGGGACATTGGTGCTCGTGAAGGCATTTGCAGCTGCATCAGAGCCCACCTGTCTGCTTCAAACGTACCAAAACTCATGCTCTAAAATGTTCCACGTCGCACCAAAAAATTCGAGGTTCCCAAAAAAATTGTTTGCGTTGAACGCAATGCCCATAGGAAACTCTAGCAACCGTCACGAAGGGCAAGAGAAACTCCTGTACATTTTGACAAGTCTTTCAAAGAACGGAATCTTCTCTTTCATGGTGGCCCATAGGGGCCCATACATAAGATCATGGGATAGGGTCGTTTAATCATCCGTGCCATGTTAGCTTTGCTCAGCAAGCTCAGCTTTTGCAAGCAAGGGGTGTTCGATAGAACTGTTATGATCGTGGTGGTAGAAGTGCGCCGCAGAATGCCTCTCTGAATACAAAACAGACCCTGCAATTTGGGAGCCCTTGTGATGCACAGGGAGAGCCTTGCAAAGTGTTGAGTCCATGTATTTCAATATCCACTTCAGCCTGGCCTCTCGATGCAGGACTTGCTCCAAATGCATGGAAGTGATAGCCTCCAGAATTGCAAAATCCATCCATCCGTCTGACCTGTGGCATGCGTGCACTCAAATCAATTATCAACCAACCTGTCCTGCGACGGCCAATGACCTTTTTGACTGCACCTCAGCTCTACGTTACCTCCGTCTCAATTACTAGCAGCTTCTTGCTACTAGTAGTAATGGCTTCCAACCTACTAGCGATGGTCTCCAACCTAATAGCGATGGCCTCTAACCTAGAAGCCTTTGTTACATACCTTTGAAACCCAAACCTGTGACTTGCAACTGCCTGGCTGGCCTGTGTTGTCGACAGTCGCCCATACTGGTATCAAGAGACCAAACATGCGCATCAGTGGTTTGTTCCAGACCCTCATAAGACAGCATAGAACATGCATGAGACCTTTGCGAAGCTGCGTGCTAACAACCTCCTGTTCCCAACCGCTCCCAGTCTATTTGGCTGACTTTGCCTCTCTGTGATCAAGTTCACAGGAAAGGCCGTGACAAAGGCAACCTCCGTGTGATCAAGCTGCTGCTCGACCAGCACAAACCAACATGATCCAACATGTATAAACCAACTCGTGACAACATGGCTGACATAACAACAGAAAGAAAGGTATAAATAAAACAAACAAAACTCTACAGAAAAAAGATGAAAACAGCAGTCGGAGTGTGAAGAACAAAGAAAAAAGAAAGGTCAACCAAGTCTGCACACGTGCCCACAATGATTATGAACTTTGTATTCTTTGTACCATTACTAGTAGCGCTGGCCTCCAACCCAATAGCGATGGCCTCCACCTAGTAGCTTCTAGTTGCTAAGAAGCTTCAAAGACACAGTGACTCAAACAAACTTGAAGTTGGGAAGTTCAACAGCCGGGCAGCCAAAAACTCTCGGGGATCGCCTTCCACCCGCAGCCGCAAACGCCCATGGGGTCGTAAGAGCTGTAAGATGGCACCCAGCAACCGCAACAGCTCCTGCACCGGAAACCGAGCACCGCTTCCAGCACATCCAAAAAAGCACAGCAGCTGAAGTCACGTTCGTCAAGTGCAAATATGCCTCAATTCTGTTCAAGGGGCCCTTACCTTCGCTGCTTCGAACAGCTTGGAACGCTTAGAACGTGCTTCTCCCCAGAACAAAGAATCGATCATAGGTGCACATGGGTGAGGAAACGCCGATGCAGGTTGTAGCTGAAGGAATTTGCTCAGCTTGCCTCCACTTTCCCAAGACAATCCCAGCGAAAGGTGCTCAAGTCCATGACGAGGCCACGGGCAGCCTGGGGCTCAACTTACAGGCATCATGAGCCATCATGAGCTAGCAGGAATCTGATGGAATCTGTGCGTCTCAAGAACCTGCTTCTGAGTCGTCATTTGGGAATGTGTCCTAAATGATCCAGAATACGTGCTCCCGAAGTGTTCAATCCCCATCAAGTCTTTGGACTATGAACATGCTTCAGTGACTGTGGTGAATTCCTCATCTGCACTTCAACATCTTCCATCTTCACCTCTTGAAGCGCACCAATATGCACCTTTACTTGCACCTCTATTGGAGGCCATTGCTATTAGGTTGGAGGCCATCTATTAATAGACTTCAGCAATACTACAGCCTGTGGCACAATGGGTCCCTCTCCTTTGATGTGCTCACATTTGTGAGTTTTCCTCATCGAGGCCCAGGCTAGCTCACCAGCATCAATGATGAGATCATAGGTCATTTGAGTCCTCTGGCACCTGGCTGATGGGCATAGGACTAGGAGTACCAACACCTTCTAGGGTGTTTTGTGTCGCTGTTCCTGTCATTGGTGGGTGACAACGTCATAGTAGAGCACTTCTCCGCTACAAGAGCCATCTGATTGCGTGACACAATTGCTGACCTTCCTGCGAAACTTTACTGATTCACTTGTGTCTTGTGGCCGTCTAATCAGCTGCAGATTTGGTTTCCTGAGGAAAGGTCCCCTTCTTCATCTGCAAAGCAACAAGGCCGGGAGAACCTTGGACGGTACCAATGATTGGCCTTTCCTTCAACAACGCCGTCCGGGCATCCTTGGAGACGGATTCCAAGAGATATCTGAAAGCATTGCTACCGGTTTGGACGTTGAAAGCTAGACAATAGTTATGGCGACTACGAAGATTCCAAGCAATACAATAGGTACTGTACAGTACAAGAAGGTTTTGCCAGTCCCAATGACAGTGTGGGGAGCACACTGAGCATCTTTCCGCTTCTTTGCTTCCGAGTGAGGCTATAATGCCATGCGCCGGATTGACAAAACATTACTATGCAAATGGCCGGGGGGGCCCACAATGGGCAAATCGCCCTCGACACTAGTGGTTCAAGTGGTCCTGGGCCTTGAGGTCAATTTTGAACTTAACATGTTTGAATGAAAAACGACAAAAGACTTACTAAATATGAGAAGCATGAAACAATTTCAACCTCATGACCTCGGCCCTGAAAACTGTGGAATGCTTCGATTCCTCCAGCAGATTCCGAAGCTCCTGACGGCTTGTAGGCCAGGAGAACTTCAGAATCCGCAAGCTTTACGGCTGAAGCAGCAAAAGCAGTATGGCTTTAATGTCAAAACCAACCCTTGTAGGATCTTGTAGGGTTTGCAGATTCACTTGCTACATGCACATCTGTTGTGTGATAATTACACCTAAGTTGTGCCCGAGAAACTTACTAATCCGAGCTTGGTCGTCTTCGGGTGGCCTTTAAGCCAACATGACCGAGATGTTCGTTACATTTAGTTCCTATAATAGACTAGAGATGCTATGGATCAGCCGCCAAGCAGTTCAATCTGTACTCCCCTTCCGCTTGCAAGCGAAACATTGCCTGCCACGCAAAAATGCTTCAAGGTAGAAGCCTTGGGTCGGGAAGGCATTGAACAATACGGCATTTGGTAGAAGGCTTTGGCATCACTGTTTGCACAAGCAACTCTGAACTTGAACTCTCACATGAGGCCGTCGCGGCATGGCGCTTTACATGCAAATACTCACGCGGCGCATTGACGGGTCCTGGCAGGTCTGTCGTGCAACAGTTGTTCTGAAACTGTTTCAACGGTTTGTCACACATCAAAACAAATCCGTTTGCGAGGGAACCAGAAACCAAGGCCTGCAAGTGCCTTACAAAGCAGCCAAAAATATCATCGCTGCAGCCACTGCAGTGGCGTATGAAGCTGCACCGCTAATCTTGGTTCCACAATCTTCCACAGAATTGGTACTAGGAGCAAGGACGCTACTAGGAGCTCCTGGCATCGCTACTAGGAGCAAGGACGCTACTAGGGGCTCCTGGCATCGCTACTAGGAGCAAGGACGCTAAATGTATGAAACATGCTTTGGTCTGAGGATGCCGTTACCGGGTTAGAAGGGAGGGTGTCGGCTGGCGGGTGTTGCGTGGGTTGGTAAAAGCTACCAGTTGCTCACTTTGCTGACACTTCGTTCGGTGTCATGCATTGTCTTACTGTGAGCACGATTCAGGTCGACGTTCCCACTGAGATTTGACCCTCACCCCTGCAAATAATCACAGGGTCACCCGGGCACCCGATGACGTTGTGAAACCAACTTAATTGATGAACAAAACCGTTGACCATGTTATGAACAACGATCATGTTATGCCAACCGATGAGAATATTATGAAAACCAACGAGAATGTTCGGTTAAAACAGGAAGTTCTCAGGCCGCAAATGCAACGCCTTGCCTAGAACAACAGGGACACATAGAACCAGGACCGCAAGTAGTTAAACCAC